TGGTGTATGATGAGTGGTGTATGATGAGTGGTGTATGATGAGTGGTGGTTGAACAGCTGTTGAATGTCCGTAACACGGAAGTTTTGCACACTAAACTTCCTTTGACAAGATTCGCTTGCGACTTGCAAGCTCACGAAATCACGAAAGCTAGCATCAGCTAGCTGGAGTTGCTCTTGCTTTAGCAAGTCAAGGGCTCGCAGCCTCGAGAATCATGAATCACGTGAAAACTTCACGTGTAGGGGGGCCCCCCCCCCCCCCGCGGGTTCAACTCCCCCCTGGGACGCTTCCGGTACGTGCTATAGTGCTATGTTTAGGTTTAGGTGGCAGGTGAAGTAGGCCACTGTTTGAGTTTGGAAGGGCAAGGCTTCAATGATGAGCATCACGGGAAGTCAGAAACCAGGCGTATCAGATACACGTGCCTTTGAGCTTCCTTCGGCATCTCAGTGCATATGGCTGACACTTCACTCGACAAAGATGCTCAAACAAACATACATAAACCAGGTGTATCTGATACGCCTGGTTTGTGACTTCCCGTGATGCTCATGATGCTGCGTTGCTTTTCTTCAGTCCCTCATTACATATACATGACGATGCAACAGCAGATTCAACAAGCTCACATGTTCATGACATCGACATCGATAGAAGAAACCAAACAAATCATGCAAGCAGCTTTGTTTTGCCTCTGGGACACCTTTTGGGCACCTCTTATGGCATCCACACTGGTTCAACTCCTCCGTGGAGGTTTTGGGATACGGTGCAACAGATTCAACAAGCTCACAGGTTCGTGAACACATCGGATGCATCGAACAGTGTGGCAAAGTCCAGCCACGCTTCCTTAATTATCGGGGCCTTCAATTCTAAGGTTGGCTGTGTCATTGCTGTTTGTGTGTCTTACATGTTCACAACGTTTTACCTCATGAGCATTTGCCTCACTCCGCTTGATGTCCCACCAGTCCGGATGCACCCCTGCTAGCTTTCGTCACCTACCCTCGGCCTCAAGTTTCCAACTGTGCCGACTCTAGGACTTGGTAAGATTCATTGGATCAACGTTCATGTATATAAATCAAAACAGCTTCAAGCCTCGCTTTTCGCTGCAGTTGAACTAGTGAACTGAGTCTGAGGCACTGAGGCTGGAGCCTTACAATTTGGCCTTTTGCAGCTGAGCCGCCATCGCAGGGCGGAGCAGCGGAAGGAGAAGAACAGAAAACTGCGATTTGCAGAGTGGCTCAGTTTTCATAACATGGCGGCGACAAACGTACAAGTGGATCAGAGATGATCAGAGTGGCTTGTTGCCTTGCCGGCCATGTTGTGCAAGAATCAGTAGAGTCGGGCATTTGCTAGGCTGCTAGATCAGCCCAGTGGACAATCGTTTTTTTGTCAACTGATTCATGAAACATTGGTTTGGTATTGTACAGTTCAGCCGTTTCTGTCCTGCAGGAGCAAGAAGCATTGATGGACCAGGGTGGTGTGGAGGCATTCTACAAAGGCTCGCTGCGTACAAACTTGTTTGTTTTTGTCCACCAACACTTTACAAAAATCCAGTGCGTATGTACACTTGTGACTAGATCTCAAGCCCGAGAAGTCTTACTTACTTTGCACTTAGGGGAAGAAGCTGAGCCTTGGCTACTGCCCCTGGCTACTTGTTCGTGCAACTTCACAAAGTTAAGTTTCCATTAACTCAGGAACCAAATCAATCATGCGAAGGCTTCTTCTGCATCCAGTCCCGGGTGGCCACTTGAGCTACTAGCTTCTTCTTGTCCTACTTCCCCTTCCTCCTACCCTTCCCCATCTTCCCCATCCTCCTCCCAACAACAAGAACGTTCTTTTCTTCGCATTTCTTTTGCATCCAGGTCTGGAATCAAGTTCCTCCCGCCCTCGGAGCGCTGCCCAGTTACTACGGCTGGCACTTGTGAAATGCAGTTGCTCGGAGCGAGAATGGATTTATATAACTCGTTTCAACAAGGCATACACATTCGTGGCCATTATAGTTGGAGAGTGTGCGAGAGAGAGAGAGAGAGAGATCAAGTGGCAAAATGTTGCCGTATTTGGGTACCAGGGTTTGCTTTCATACTATTTGCATTGATTTGGTGTGTTGCTTACCTTTCTCATCCGTGACGTTTTGTTTTCATTACCCAGTTGCAGATAACACTGCACATGACCGAGCCAGACTACCAAGCAAGCAAGAATGTTTCCGTCTTGAAGGAAGCCTTCACAAGGCCGAACTCGTTCTTAGGTTTGGGGAAAGACCAAGGAAAGCAAGTTCGATTCTAGTGTATGTCTATGGTCCATGGTCTTTGGAACGACGGAATGTGGGTGTGCCATGGTCATGTGGCTGCGTGGCTTTTGCTCTTCCCGCCGCACATGTGACCAGTGAATGTACAGGAATCGCATGAATGTGCTTTCACTGAGTGGTGGAACTTGGCAGTATTACCAGATGCTTCTGCTTCTTTAACAATTCCAGAAGAAACTCAGATGATCCAAGGCCGGGCTCGCTTGGCAGCTACCTTGAGCCGCTGGAGTCACTTTGCTGCGGAGGGCTTGGGAGCTGATGTGCAGCAGCTGCAGGGGCAAACAAAGCTCCCTGCCAGAAGGGAATCACATCAAGGAAGTCAAGGAGTATTCTATTCCATCAAGTAATTATGATACAGATTGGGACGACGACATGTGGTAGCATGTTTCGCTTGGGTGGCTGCATTCTGGCGTACCTCGTGAAAAGCACCTAGAACGGCTCATGATACTATTCACTGGCACCCACTTTCGGCTGGAGGTGGGGCATGTAATATGTGTAAATATGTATATGCTACTTCAGTTACTTTGCTCCTTGTTGTTCGGCCAGGAGCCCCTGTCATTTCCAAAGTGTTTGTCATTGGGCATGCATCTCGAGACTGTGACCTTCGGTCCCCAATACTACAACCACATCTCAGCAGCGAGAAGAACAGTACTGGAAAGGCCTTGGCTATCCTTGGTGGCTATCCCTGGCTGCTTTCAAGGCGTTTGCAAATAGGGAATACAGGGTAGGAAGGACATCGCAGAGAATCGTTGAACATGTATACAGCTCAGGAGTGTCAATGCAGAGCTTGCTGAATATCGCTGCAATGTCGAGGCGCTGTTTCGTTGACTACAACAAGTTGTGCAAAAGTTTTCGCTTTTGGTGAGGTTTGGTTTTTGGTTTGGCAAGTGTTTGGTGACACTGATGTGATCTCGGGTGTCTTTGATGGATGATTTTCAGACTTTTTCATCTTGTCAGGTTGAGGGCCGAATGAAGTGCTTTGTGCCCAGAGCTCAGTTTGCCCATGGAAGGTTTTATCTTTGGATGATCGAACCTGGGGATAGGGAGGCCACCTCTTTGCTAACCAAAATCCGTTCTAAAGAAGAAGCAAAATGCGTTCTTAAAAGCCTTCAGTTTGCCAGAGGAGTTCAACACTTGTTGAGAATTCGATGTTGCCGAGGCTTAGTTTGGGCACTGCAGTGCAGCGGCAGCAGATGATAGCCCTTCGAAACCTGCAATCAAAAGGTGGCTTTCTAATGCTTTCCGGTGGTATTTAGCTAATAGTATCTCGTAGTGCTATACAAGACAAGCTACTATATTCGAACTGTGGTGATCACAAATCCTGAATGACGGAGATCTTAAGAATCTATATATATATATATAACTTTACTTCGAGTGATCCTCACCATGACATGTCCATCATTTGTTTTCATGCCATGGTGAGGAGATGTTGCCATGGCCGTGGGTCCTTCCTTGGGTTTGGGATTGTTATTCTAGTGTTCAGGAGTTCGCGCCTGCCACACAAAATGCCACACGCAGGTAATTATATTGTGGTGGTTGTGTGCTGTGGCTGTGTGCTGTGGCTGTGTGCTGTGGCTGTGTGCTTGTGGCTGTGTTTGTGTGTTTGTGGCTGTGTGTTTGTGGCTGTGTGCTGTGGCTGTGTGCTTGTGACTGTAGTTGTGTTTGTGGCTGTGTGCTTGTGGCTGTCTTTGTAGCTGACTGTGTGCTTGTGGCTGTTTGTTTGTGGCTGTGTGTGTGTGTTTGTGATTATGTGTTTGTGGTTATGTGTTTGTGGTTGTGTGTTTGTGGCTGTGTTTGTGGTTGTGTGTTTGTGGCTGCGTTTGT